TGCTTTAGATCTTCGGACAATTCTCTGACTTTCCACATGATGACACAGTTCTTAGTATTTTGCTTCTGTGTTCAGCCACCTTTAATGCCCTATGTCAATCATGATGACTTGCACAAGTTTCTACAAACTTTTAGGCTTTTGTGAAACTACCAGATGACTAAAAAACTGCAGAATTAAATTTCCAAATTATTTCCAACATAATTACAGGGAATTAATACCTTTAAACTTTGCATACATGAGCAAATTGTTTTACAAGTATGCTGTTGTAATATTCAATCATTCTTTTAATACATTATTATGGCATTTGAATACAATACCTAAATATCAACGAACTATGATGTATATATCCAGAAATTTCTAGTTACAGTTCATTAAGGGTGTGAATAGATTTGGAAGCTACTGCTTATTGTCAATAATGAAGAAAAAATAAACAATCCTGGCTAAACGAGCAAAAGTGTGGAACATGTTGATCAAAGCTATTTTTGTTGTCCTCTAGAGAGTTCTAGAGATGATGGTTATTGCAGTTGCTGGTGTAGCTAATTTGTTTTTGGTAAAACTCCCTGCAATTCCAACACTGCAACCCAAGGCCTCAAAATAAAAACTAAAGTACAGGTGAAGTCACAATCATGTAGCAGTTCTCTGCAAATACAGCGGTGATAGAAACATCCATGTACAGTATCTTTATTGTTCCTAAATTTTAAACTCTAAATTAACATTAGGCAGATTTTCCCAAACCACTTCCTACTAGAAAAATACATGTAGGACAACACTACAATCCATGATAACCTATGTCAGGTCTCTGAATAAAACTTGCAAAAAATGACTCTCAAATGTTAAACATAATAAGGTATGTCTGCATACAGTATTTTTTGCTTTCTCTCATCTGTTATGACTTGACCATGATTTGTTTTCTAATATTCCCAGTTTGGAATCGACAATTTCTAATCACCTTGATTCAATTAAATCCAATCATACAGGACAGATGGGAAAGACAGCACACGTATCTTATTTGTAATGTAAGTCCACACATCTGACGAGAGGCCTAGGCACCACTAGATGGATGCAGTTCTCACGATAACAAGCTTGCCTGCACCTGGCTAGCTACAGGGGTCACTGTGGTGTGACAATCTGAGAATCCCCTAGATAAGTCATACCAGGTGATCACCTGTAGCACTTCGCAGATGTTGACTGGCTGTACAGGGTATCCCAATCCCAGATGGATAATGTTGAAGCCCAGATTCCTACTAGGGATGTCTGGACTATAAGGCTGAGCCTGCGTTCTGAACTAGGTGCCTTATCTGAAGGAGCCAATCACAAAATTCCAGTAGGTGTATTTATGCAACACTATTTCTTAAGGCACAATTATCAATAAGTGAAAGTGAATAATATTGCAATGCCACCAGATGTTGAGATAATCTATTCAAATACTTTGAAACTAGAAAAGACTGAATGAAGTAGCTTTTCTGCAATTGTGACTGCTACGTAGCAGTGTTCAAAATGTTTAAAAAGAAAAGGCTTGTAATAAAAAAAATTGAACTCAACCTTTTCGTTCCATCTCACAGTAGTGTGGTCTCACACTACAACTCCCTCTTTCTATTACCTGTCTTCTTCCAGTTTCTAATTCCTCCAGTAGCATTTAGTGATTTATTTAACTGTTTTTATATTTCCTTCTCCTGGTTTGGCTTTCACATCAGGTTACCAATAAAAGTTAAATACACTCTTATGGTCTCTCTAAAGATGATCTCCTGTGATAAGTATAATCGCAGGATATCGGATTTCAAAGAAACCATGATGATGGAAATTCCTAGAAATCTGTGATTCAGAAGTTAGAGCTTTTTTTGTTTCTTTTTTTCATATCCCTCTATAGTGTTTGACATGGAACAATATTCCTGCCATTTTTTTGGTGCTATTTTCTTGGCATTGGCAGTCTAGGGGCCTTCGGGTTTTTTTGTGGATTTCCCTACATCTGCTTTCTTTCCCCAACATGGGTTCCAAAAATCCTTGTTCTATTAAAGCTGCACAACAAACCTCCCCTCACAGCAACACCTCAAAGTGACTGCTCATGGCCTGCCATCTTACAGGATAATGTTTAATAATGATCACCCCAAAGCACTGCAATCACAGGGTAAGATACAGAGGCGGATTTTCAATAGGTATGGCTTATGTGAGCAAAGATAAATGTAGCACATGGTTTAGCAGGCTCCAAATCCCCCAGTTTTATAAATAGGAAGTAAAATTGAGCTCTGAGCAAAGAGGGGCCTGTGTATTAAGATTCAAATGTAACACAAAATGCTTTTTTTTTCATATGAGCAATAAATTCTCATTAAATGTAGTTCAAATCATGGTTTTGGTCTGTGTGCTACAATGAGAGCTTTATTGCTCATCTAGAGTAAAAGCAAGTTCATAAATGCTGCTCTACCTTTTGTAATTTATTAACTGAAATGCTACCATATTAATTAATTTGTATAGTACAACACAATTAATAGCCTTAAACTGAACCAAAGCAAAAGTGAATGAAATTGAAGTATTTGTCTACCTGTCTTAATAATTAAAATGCGATCTTTTGCATCCATAATAAAAATATGAATAAACCCCTCTTTTCCTGTGTTGAGCATCCTCCCAGCTTCCAATGTATTTTGCTCACCAAGAGTATAGTTGTGTAAGGTCACAGATTACACAACGTGCTCATATACAAAGGTGTGCTTTAAAATCAAGGCTCATGCAACGGACTATTTTAAGTTATAGCCAACGACTTCTTTACCTAAGTCAACGTTCTACTCTGACTGACCTCACTGCAAAATGTCCTTTTCAAATAAGGAATAAAAGAAATTAAATGCTGAAAAAGTGTGCAAATAAGTCTGTAAACCTGGATTTGAAATATTCCATATGCTTCCTGGGCAAAACATCGGCTCAATATAATTACTGTATGTATACTGTACATTTGTTTTCAATTTCTATAAATTAAAGCTTTTGTAAAATGTATCAATATTATTATTTTTATCAATATATCACTCAATTGCATGGTAAAAAGCATTTGTATTAACAAAAGATCACAAAAGACATATACAGGGAACAAACATTTCACCTATAAAGTATTAAAGGACAATAATTTTAAATATTACAGAACACCAATAATTCCTCTAGGAATCATTATACAATCATAAAAAAAAATTCAAGCTTTCATTCTGCAGTGATTCTACAGGTTTTCTGAAGGTCTGTAAGACACACACTCACATAATAAAAAAAAACCAAAGCTTTCCTACCAGTGCCAATAGAGACAAACCAAAAACCCCTGCCCCTCTGCACCACCCTGCCTGGGATAGAGGCAGCAGTTATCTCCAAGCATCTCCTGAAAACTTTACAGGTCAGGTTTCTCCACCTTTCGTCTCTTCTGTAGTTAAGGCATACAGTAGCTGAAAAAACCTTGATCACATCAGATAGTCAAACATCCTTTATAACACTGCACCAGTTTAATACTGCTTAGAAATCTGAATGTTCCAACAAGGGTACAGACACAGACGCCTTGGCAGATTTTATCACGGAAACTTGCTGCAAGGACACAGGTCTCATTCACCCAGAACTCCAAACCTCAATTCCTCCAGCTAAATGAAAATAAAGAAAAATACAGCTCTGTAAACCATTACATCTCTCAATGATATGTCTACGCGTACTTGCATTTTGACATCACATCACAAGCAAATTTGATCATCTTCGTCAAAAAACAAATCCCAGTTCTAAATTCGTAACCAAAGAAACTGATTTTCCTTGTCTAGGTTTTGAAACACAAATGACTCTTGTTTAAATATTTTATAAAGCTATATTAAAAATACCAGTATGCCAAAAATAAAACACAGCTCACACAATGCTTATTCTTTTTACAAGTGTTGACTCTCATGCTTACAGCAAATTTGAGCTGCTTAAACAGACAGATAAATAACTCAGTCACCAGTGCCAATTTTATTAGCTAGTAACAAGTGCAAGGAATTGGAACTGGCATGTGCCACTGTTGCTTTCCTTATTAGACCAAGAGTACACTTCAGAGGAATTGCAATTCATGTATTCAGAACAGAACCGGTGTCCGCACTTACCAGGCTGTGATGTGCTATCATATAATATCCTCCAGAATACAAATGGACGTAATAGGCAGGAGAAGATCTCAGCCAAAACCAAATCAAAAGCACTTCACTACCAAGATTGGAGCTCTGAATCTATGAAGTCATTTACCTTTTTTGGTTGTGTTGCCTGTTTGCATTTGGGATGTAAGATGCTCAGAACTAAAATTATAATCCTGTAAAATTCCTTTAATACTGTGAACCTCCAAACACTTTCCTCCAGAGATTCTGCTGTGCCACACAGGAGAAAGGTGTATTTTAATAGGTTTTGCCATTTTTTTTACCCTTTAATCATGGATCCTGTATCTACAATTCAGCTGGGTTTTTTAGATCTTTTCTTTGTTTTCATTCTATTTTTTATCCTCTTAGATATAAAATCTAAATTGTGATTTCACATTTTGCAGTGAAGTTCTACACAACACCAGCAAACACCTTTTCAGGTAAAAAGCATACCTAAAAAAATATCAATCAAAATGACAAATTCTAAGCTTCATATTACAGTCCTTTCAAGTGGCAGAAAGAATATAAAATTGCTCTTTCAAATTCTAAAACCATTTCTAATTGTGTGCGCTTCAAAGAGCGTTGTCTCAAGAGTTACTCTTTACTCCATTGCATACCAGTTCAATCCAAAATTCTCACAGTGCATATTTTGACCTTGCACATATTTTGCTGCTGCTGCTGCTGCTTTTTGCAAAGAGATTAAAAAAAGAAATGGTCATTTTGGTTTCCCTCTGATGAGTTCCTAAAATGATACTAGAATTGTTGTGCGATACTTGCGCAATAAGATAACTATCACACATAAGAGTCATACAATATATACAGTATGTGCACATGTAAGTGTGTGTACATGTCAGTCTGAGAGAAAATGTGAAACACTTGTCTACTTACAGTTGTGCTCTTATTTCCCTCCAGTCCCACGCAGTGTCAGAACCTCATTCCTTCAGCTGGCATCCCAGGGCTGGGCAGTGAAGTGAAGAGGGGTTTTTTCGCTTTTTCTGTTGAAGGTATTGGTAGGAGGGAGGGACTGAGGTGAGAGAGAGAGACAGAGAGAGACAGAGAGAAAGGGTTGGGGTGCGTGCACGCAATTTGTCTGCCGGTCCAGGAAGAATGGTTGTCTTCAGTGGTCTCTGAGTTGCAGGCTGCAAGCACGCTTGCATACAGCTTCTAGCCTGCACTGTCAGGCACACGCGTATACAGCACACACAAACACTCGCACGCTTACTTGCTTGCTCTGCTCACACTCTGAAAACACATCACAAAGAGAGAGAGAGATAGAGAGACAGGGAGAGTGGGGGGGGGTCTGCTGACAGTTTCAAGCGAATGTTTCTCTTTGGCTCTAAGCACTGCACGGGCTGACAGGTACTGAACGATGGCTTTGAGAGGTGACCCCCTCCCCACCCCACCCCCATCTCCCAACCTACTCTCTCCACAAACACGTAGCCCACCCCCCCTTTCCAATTAACATGACCCTCCCAGCAGAGAAATTAGTGTTTTCAAGACTCAGGCATGACTCAAAGCTGTCTCCTGCCTTATCTGATCTTGTTTAACTGTGCTGTAATCAAAAAACACAGCTGAGCTATATTAATACAAGTATAATAGTTCCACACGGGGGGTCTGGTGCGAGCTGCAATCATCTCACTGGAGTGAATGTGCACTCCGAAGACCGAGACACAGCAGTAGAGGAGAGGATTTAGGGTAATTTTATTATTATCATGATTGTTGTTAGGGGTGATTCTGCTTTGAAGTCAATTTTAATAGACCAGCACATTGCAAAAAAGGTGAACGTTTTAGTCCCTTCTAATATTTTTTCTTTTAAGTTTCATCTTTGTTATATGTAACACATCCTTCACATGAAATCTGCTGAATTTTTTATTGCCATCTTTGTATTTTGGTACATTTTTTCCCTTTAGTGATAGGCTTAATAGGAACATAACATAAATATTTAATATACAAAGAACATAGCTCTGAATGCATGACTTTATATCAAGTTGTATATACTGTATAACACTGCGTTTGATGATTTCCAATATCCGTGCTTCCTTTATCGTAAATCTAAACATCCTTGTTTTCATCCAGAGTTAAAGCTCCAGTGACCGCTTCGTTTTCTGAAACAAAATCCCAGGACTGCTGTTCTCTGTCCTCTGCCATGACAGAGTGCACACCACAGAATTCAATTAAAAGTGAAATTAGCAAAGGATCCTAATCTTATAACAATGATCTAATCTGTAATTCGTTAGCTGGCATTCCCCGGAGGTCTTGGTTGATGAAGTGGCTCAAAGCCCCTTGGTGTTAATCGCAATGAGATGCACATTAAACACTTCATCACCGCAGCATTTTTTCTGTACAGTCACAAGTTTGCAGTTCTTTTTTCATTTGTAAGTTGACAGCAGTTTTCATATATTTATTTATACATGGACATGTTCAAAGATGCAATATTGATGAGGGCAGCTAAAGACAGTAGTTACTGGAAGAAATTTGGGCTGGGCAGTGTAGCAACAAAATGTGAAGACGATTAGTAGATCATGGTTCAAACAATATTATTTTATATTCTGTAGCTATTGTAAGAAAAGGATAATCTAGTGCTGATTCAGTAATCTCTTATGATGTTCAGAAAATGGAGTAGAGTTATATTATACATTAGCAATAATATAAAACCTTTCCTATTATACAGTTTGTCAACATGAAAGGTTGATTTAACATGGAGTTAAAGACTGATGAGTATTGACAGCAAACTGCCTTCTCACCTTCCAAGGAAAATTTTCCCTCCAGAGCCAAATTTTCTTTGCTAAATTAAATTCAATTTCATTAACACATGCAGAGTTGAGCAAAGGAGAGCTGTAGATCAATAACAGACCTTTAATCTAGGTTTCATCTTATAACTTTTTGGTACCCAATGCCAATAATAAGCAATTTTTGGTAGTAAGCAATTGTATTCAAGAAGTCGGTTTATTTTCCTTGAGCACGAACAGAGGACCACTTGAAAAGAAGGTGCAAGGGAATACTGACGTAAACTCAGTTTGATTCAATGTCGTCCTTCTCACTCATTTGGAATGATAATGCCCATTTGGTCCTTCTTATGGATGCTTCTCCATATACCACTGGAAGATTAAGTTGGGATTTAAACTGATGTGTCCTTCATAGCTCTGAGTTCTAACTTACAATATCAAGCACTTTTCCACAATATACCAGCAGATTCTCATTGTGTTTGGGTTTCCTGACAGGTCAAGTGATGCGTAACCCCTCTGTATTTCTTAATAAACATTCTTGGACTCAAGAGGATTTACATTTTTACAGTGAAGCAAGCGGAGATACAGAAAAAGATGTGGATTGGTTGAACTGTATTGCCCTGTGTTTCTAAAATCAGACAATGTTTACTCAGTGTCCATATCTATTGGCTGCTAATAGGCTTGTTACCTGGCAACATTTTATACTTTAGAGGATTGTTTCTGCTCTAACACAAGTGGTGTGTATTAGTTCAGGACCAATTACAGACACCACCCCCAATGTGCACACACAAATACTGATTGCTCTACTCCACTTATTTAACAGTCCTTAAGTGCAGATCCCTAATGGTCACCCATCAAAACAAGTTAGTTAGTACCCAGTGGCTCAAGTAAAACATGTCATCCTCCCTTTGTCTCACCAATTCATTTCTATGATTACTCAGGGAAAAAAATGGAAAGCCTGAGTCCATACACGTGTTAAACCACTTGTTAAGAACATTCTCAAAACATTCTCAATAGGGACTAAAGAAGGTTTCCACTCTTTGATATTAAAAAAAGAGCCACTGAGTCCAATAAATAGGTCATGTGACACAGATAATCCTGTTATCTGTAGAAATAGCATCATGTACTCCTTGGGTCAATTTTTACATGGAATCTGATCATTCTCAAGATATATTTTCAAATCCTTTTGTATTAATTTTGTGAATACAAGATGCAGATGGTAGTTATGGCTATTGTCTTAAGAGAAAAGAATTTTAAAAAGTGCCTTTTATTGCATAATACAGAAGCAGACCTACAGTATCATTCTAACCTACCTGCAACTGAATTTGATAAATATATCTCTATTATTAAAAAATGCAAAGAAGAAAAAATGTGAACTGCACCTAGCCACCATATTATGGTTAGCAAGGTTAACCTGTAGTGGATGCCAATCCAGCACATGCTGACCTGAAATGCAATTAAAGACAGAAAATCTCGCAGCCCCTGGTGATGTTTTCAGATTGTGTCAGGCATGCTGTCACCTCTCTGTGAAACCAGAGGCCCTGAGCACCAGGAAAGCTGTCACAAGCACTTCCACTCTCAACAAGCACCAGACACTGCTACCCAACATGAGACCGACCCATCAAACCGACAGAGAGCCAGGATTAGACACCTCCTCAAAGGGCTGTGAATGTAGCTACTGTGTGAAATGCATTTGTGCCCTTGGTGTATTGTGGCAAGTAGATTTGGCTAGCTAAGAATACGGCAAAACAGCAGCTTAACTCTTTTTCAGATCTTTCAGTGTACAAAATTCTTCACTGGAGTTTAAAAATTGTGTTTGTTTGGAAAAGACTGCTACACCTAACTTTAGCTGGAAAATGTTTTTTTAAGTAAAACAGCTGCTTGTTGTTCCGAAGGAGCTACAGTAGTATGCAATGATCGCCTTTCTCCATTAGCCTGTGTCAGTCTCTCAGTGGCATAAGTAGGCTCTTTAGGGCCTGCGGCAAATTACCTCTGCAGGACGCCCCTTGTCTATTTTCTTTATTTTGTCTTTATGCCGATTGCAGTAGCTCTAGATTATACTACTGCTCAGGCAATCAGTCGGATTCAGCTAAAACAAATCTAATGCCTTTCTTTAGCTATAACACTTGAGTTACAATGCTTGAAAAGAGAGAAAACACTAAAGGTTGTTTTCCCTTCTGGTGAACAAAGCTGCTAAAATTGGCCATAGCATTAACCAAAGGTGGTGGTGCCTGACTTTTTTTTTTTCATTTTTTCTAACAAATAATTCTCTGAAAATTGATTTGTGTAACAACTTCCAAGCCCCTAGCAAGTGGCTTTAAAGCTGCCATGTCCAACAATCAGGTACAATTTTACACTTCAGACATGTTCTATTCTGTATATCAGCCTTAAATACATTCTTTCAGCAGATTATCACACTGCCTGCTGCTACCTAGGAGTTTGCGTGTCCACCAGATTTCAAGACCCTCACATCAAATTTAAATTGTTTTTCTTCTTTATAGAAGCACATGTAGGATTGGAAAAGTGAGGCTGGGTGAACTGAATGCCTTCTGCATGGCGTTCCATAGAGTATAACCTACCAGTCACAGAGTGTGAAGACACTGGCAAACCCACTCCTTGCAGTAGTAGAACCACTCTCATCGAGCCTCCTTCTCAGCTGTGGTTCAACACAAACACAGCCAGAGTGGAAACGGTGGGTTCCTGCGTTGGGCATATGTGCCACAATGCCACCTGCTGTCCAAATACCACAATTCCTGCACAGGCTTATCCAGGGAAAATACAGAATTCCTGAAGATGCATTTGTTTAAATTATATCTCTAAGAATTTCCTTTGTTTCATACCATAAAATGAGCCTTGTTTGTCTTCCTTTAAACACTGATGATGAAATATGATTTTAGAATGACTTTAGAGAGTACAGTTCACTTTGAGTCTAAAAAAGCATTTAAAGTGTAACCTGTTCTTTCAAATATTATAAATGTGTAGGAAAACAAGTTAAAATGCAACCAAAATGTCAAGATACTGTAAACAGACAGATCCTTAAAATCTGGCTTTCCTGCTATATAATCTTGTATTAACAAGTTCTGATAAAGTCTGAATGTCATGGGTGATAAAAATCAAAGTCAAGCACTCTACATAAGTCACCAAATCCTGATGTGCACATAACACAAGCATGCCAATGGAGTGGCATATCTACGCAGAAATGCTACATACTGTATGAGTAACAGAAATGTTTGTCCATTTCGTCTTAGAAACACCTTCTACACTAATTATGTTATGGATATTGTTGATGTGCATGTCAACCCAGGTAATCCCACAAGTGTTCGACTGAATTAAGGTCCAAGGATACAGTGACACTGATTTCAGATTGAAGCAGAAAGTCTTGAGCGACCCTAGCTCCATGGGGACAACATTATTGTGCTGAAATATAAAGGAATTGCACAGTGACGCTGGCATTTCCATCACAATTGGTAGAGAACAGGTCTGAAAGTATCATCAATGTATCACTGTGTGGTGAGATTACCATGGACAACTACAAACATTTCTAAACGTGACATTCATGGCACCCCAC